GTTAGTCAGACATGATCTACCCCTCGTAAGTCCATGTTGGCTGGGTCTGATACCCTGGCCATCCTGCAAATTTTGCATGATGGTGCGTAATATAAACTGTTCCATTATTTTGCCAGGTATAAAGGTCAGGCTGACTGGTCTATAATTGCCAGGATCTTCCTTTACACCTTTTTTGTGAATGGGTATCACATTGGCCAGCTTCCAGTCATCCGGAACCTCACCAGTAAGCCATGACTGTTGGTAAATGATGGAGAGTGGCTTTGCAAATTCGTTTGCCAGCTCTCTCATTACCCTGGGTGTGGGATCTCAGTCTCTCAGAACTGGGGTGCAGGGTGAACGAGACCACCCCTGGGGGGCTCGGGAGTCCTGGAATGTTGCCAGAAATGTCTGGTGGCTGGACTTTGATCCCACATGGGAGATGACATCAGTATGAGGACAGGAGGATTTCACCGGGGTGAATGGTGAAGGGATAAGTTAATTGGAGTGTGAGATACAGGGTTTAAAATTTCTGTACAGGGGGGTCTAGAGAAGTAAGATGGAGGAATTGGGGCGTGCCCTTCTCCTTCTTCCTCTAGGCCTCCATTTTCTGTGGTGATGTTGGCACTTTGGGATTGGTCTTTACTAAAAGTGCACTGGTTAATAAGGGTAGAGGGTATTGGAGAAAAATGATAAATATTGTATACGTAACTCCGGGTATAAAGATAGGTGGCCGCCCCAGGGGCTCTCAGTGTGTGCCCATGGCTGACTGCTGAGCAGAACTCTGTCAGGCCAAGAGAAAATCTTTTAGATAAGCAATTAATAAACACCGAGACCGAGAACAAATCTGAAGCTTCCTCTCATCCTTTCGAACCCCGGGGGCCCAAGGCCATCTTTGGGCTTTTCCCAGACCATCTAGACAGCACCAAAATCCGACACTGGGGTGGATCCCGTCTGGTCCCATAGATTTATGAATATCCAGGCATTTCAATAGTTCTATGACAGCCTCCTCTTGGATAATGTGGGGACCATTCTGCTCCCTAAAACCATCAACCAGCCCAAGCGGGCAAGTGTCTTGAGGGCAAGTCATCTTCCCGTTAAAAACTGAGGCAAAATAGGCATTTAATACTTCTGCCTTCTCCTCATCTGCAAATACTAACTTCCCACCTTTGTCCAATAAAGAACAAAGGCTGGTCTTACCTTTCTTCCTACCATTAATATATTTATAAAAACATTTTTTATTATCCTTGACAGTAGTCGCCATTCTGAGTTCAAACTGAGCTTTGACCTCCCTAATTTTTTTTCTGCATACTCTAGCAGCCCTTTTAAATACCTCCTTGGAGACCTGACCCTTCTTCCAACGCTGATACATCCTCTTTTTGTTCCTGAGTTCCTCCAAGACCCCCTTTCCCAACCAGACTGGACGTTTACCCCGTTGACTGATCTTTCAGGATACAGGGATGGTCTGTTCCTGCACCCTCAAGATCTCTGTTTTGAAGTAAGCCCACCCTTCCTGAACTCCTGAACTCCAATTAATCCAAATAATCCAATAAGCTATAAAAGGAAGAGCCCACTTCATGATCATACCCCATCTTTGTCACAACCCACTCGTGAGGAAGCCGAAGGTTCACTTCCTCCATCCCAGTCCTTGCTGAGGGCTCAAGTCCTCCAATGCCCCTTCAAATCCACCCCTCATATTCCCACCCCAGTGCCACAGTCTGCCCTGGGTGCCCAGCAAACCCTACTGTGCCACAACCCCTGCAGCCTCTCCAGTTCCTTGCACAGGGGCTGAAACAATTGCCATGAACTCATGAACCCCAACATCTAACCACTGCTTCTGGGATCCATTTGCTTCCTAAAACCTCATCAGACCAACTGTCAGCACTTGGGCTCCTGTCAGGAAAACCAAACTATCACCCCTCCTCTGACAGCAGCACATCAGTGGCTTGTTTCATTCAGACCGTGTTCACCTCGGCTCTAGCTCTCAGTCCTCACAGTGATAAAGCTTTCCCCATGAACTCACACTTGCATAAATTCAACCTGGTTTATTCCAAATATCACATAAATTAAACACATTTCCCATGAATATTGCAAATACACATGAAATGAACACTGCAATTTTTAAAAAAAGTTTTGGCTTTGTTTATGCAACAAGAAGTGCCAAATGTGGTTAGAACATGAACTTCTCCTGTATTTACTAGATACAAAAAGGTGCAGATTAATAATTTATATTTATACATATGTACACACTCCATTTCATTTCTAGCTTTAAAACAGTAAAAAATGGTTTCAAGTTTATCTACATTAAACATACTCATTTACATCTGGTCAGAAGCCCCAGATAAGAGTTGATACAATCATTTCACAACTGCAAAATTAAGGCGCTACCAAAATACCAGTTCCACTAGTGTAAAATGTAACAGGAATAGAGTGTACAGCTTTCTATTTATCAATTTAAAAGTGGACTGGAGAAGAAGGAAAAAGGAGCAGTAAGAAACATGACAAGTTCTACAGGTTAGAAGTACAAAGAGATCTCGATGACTATCAAATGAACATATTAAAATACAGTAGATAAAAGGCCTCAGTGGCAAACAATTAGTATGCTTCTGAAAGACAAAAAAGGTTAAAATATATATATATATATATCATTTTGTAGCTTGAAATTTTACAGGTGAACAACAGGTGTAGAGGTAGAGGGATTTTTTTTTTCTTTTTGGCCTCTTTACGATGTATAAAGAAGGGCCACATTCACCACAGTGAAAAGACTCATCATATATCCCAGCATCCTTGCTTGGACAGCAAGCAAGAAAAGTGTAATGAGCTAGAAAGGCAACAAATCCTGTCTATCTCTTCCAGGAGCTCAGCTCCAATGCTTCCACATGTACCTTGGCAACAAGTTACACCTAAGCACAGACTGGCTGTAACGTGGACATTTCCTCTAGAGAGCAACGAGACAGCTTTTCTCATGAGGTACTACTGGATGCTGCAGATATTATATGGCAGAGGTGATTTGGTAAAAATGAAACTGGTACTTCCCCTTAAAAAGCAAGTACCACAGGGCAGTGGTGATTTTATCTATTTATTAAAGCTTTGCTATTTGATCAGCATTCAATGTTTTGGAAGAAATGTCAGCTTTGGGCTGCTAATATTATTATTTGCATCCATACACAGACAATTCCTTTGTTGTTATCCTTCATCCAAAACATCAGCCACTGAAATATTCACAAACTGCTTTAAACCTTGACTAAAAAAAAATCCCTCTACAGTTCAGCTTTCTTTTCAGTAACAATCACTCTATTAACTATGCAGGCCTTCATGAACACAATAATGTCATTTCCCATGTAGAATGTCTTTACACATTACAGAACAGCAGTAAACAACCTCTCATTTCATAGGGTTTTCTGTCAGAAGTACCTCAAAAGTAGATATCTTGAAAAAATCACTTTTGCAGAGAAGAATATTAACATTAACATTTACTGAGGCAAAGCCAAGAAGACACTAACTAGCACCTTGATAATTATTTTTTTCTTAAATGCACTCCTATCTGTAAAATTAAGCACATATAAGATCAGGGACCAGCAATATACAAATACCATCAGCATCCTCTTCCAGCTAAACTAGTAACACTCAAAACTAGGCCAGACACACAAACAAGCAAGATTAATGAGTCTTGGAGAAATACACAGTATGGAAAGGAATGGGAAGAACAGGAAGCTAAACAGAAAGGATTGCAAGATCAAATACAGTCCATCTTCTGGTCCAAGAATTAGTTTGTGAAATCACCCTTCTGTAGCTCAGCTGACAGTCGGCTGAAGACCTACTGACTTCTGACATTTCCTCCCCACAAACACAACAATTCCTTATACTTCAGTGAATTCCTCTTCATCATCTTCAAATCCTGGAGGAAATGCATTCAACTTGAATTTTGAGTATTTTGGTGGTGGTAGCAGAACTTGCAGAAGGCTACTGTAGAGGTTATGACATCATTGGTTGTACATTATGCACTTCACAATTCAGAGAATACACTTACAAACCACTTAAATAGAAAAGGCGTGTTCAAGGTAGAGGCAGTTACAGTACATTCAGGGTATGTTACAGAAACCATTTGTGGTAGCCATTTGCTGAAAGGAAAAAAAACGGAATTTTTGTTTCCCAGACCACAGAGGTTATAACTACAATACCCAAAGAGAGCAGGTAATATATCCCAATCACTGCATTTTAATGCAGTTTTCTTCCAGAATTCATGTACAAAGTGGAAAAAAAAAGTTTAAATACCTCTTCATTGACAAATAAGGAGAAAAGAACTAAAAAAAGAAACCAGGCACTTTGACCATTTAGGTAAGCAGCCATTTCTTCTTACCAGACTTCTGCACATGAACAAGTCTTTACATTGGTCTTGCTATGCTTGCAGCACATGGAGATTCAAGTCAACTTTTTTTCCCTGTTGGTAGTATCAGTTCTAGTTATACGAAATGATGCCAATTGAATTGGTAACACTGAGTTATTTCATTGGCAGTTGAGCATATGTTGATCATTTGACTGACAAGCGATCAATTTAACAGCTATCAAAGTTAGATATTAACAAAACAATACATAAAAAAATAATCAGAGAGACAAATGAAGTTTAACACCTGACTGAAGCTTGCATTGAGACGTGCCTTTATAGGTTCGGTTTGTGACTCCTTTCATGGTGTTACTGTGGGCTGATTTCCATCACATACAGCAACTGGTACTAAACTACAATACTTTCGGTTTGAAACACGTTCAGTAGAGACCACCCCAAGGTAACAGGAGGTCAGCATGACACTGCAGGAAGGAGGGAGATGGAAACCTCCCCACTTTTCATCCTCGCTGGTTCCAATGGCAGAGCAGGTGTTCAGAGTAAACTGCAGCATGCCTCCCTCGTACTTGGGGTGAAATCATTATTTCACAGCAGTGTTTATTATACTTTAGTGAGTGGCTAGGTTTGAATTTAGCAGTTAGGCTAGCTAGGATTACTTAGGTTTCTTTAAAGAGAAAACCCAAAGTATGTATTTCCAAACATTTTGTATATACTTATTCTGCTACAACATATAAATCACAAAGGAGGGATTACCTAAGGCTACCAAATAGTGTGCTTATTCAGTAGCTATTATTCTTTCAGATAAACATCCTCAGATGCCTTGACTACAAATGGCTTCACCTGTTTTTTCCCTCAAACTGTTATTTGCTGAAGAGAGAGAGAGGGAGAGTGGGAGATGTGGGTGTATGACAGACTGCTTTCCAATTCACTAACAGAGAGTACTGTTGGTTATAGTCCTTGTGCATACTTCTGCTGGGCAGAGTAACTCCTCTTCTGTTCACTACCTTCAAGAAAGTCTAGGAAACACCTCTTCAATCCACTGTCCAGTTTCCTCTTCCTACTGAGTGAAAATTCAGATCACATGCAGGCCAATGGCACTACTCTAGTACTTAACTCTCTTGGCTAGAAACATCAATTCTATCAAAGTACTTTGAAGCAAATATCCACATCCATCAGCTACATTCTAAATGTAGCACAGCTCTGCAGAGGCTCCATTTTCACCAGGACAACAGGAGAGTGTGCAAGGTTTGGTGAATACCCAGGTAAAAAAACCGATGCAATCGATGGATGCAGGACGCAGTCAGAAAGGGCTGTTCCTTCTTGAAAGAATCTTTAAAAAATACAAAAAACAACCCCTCCCCTTTTGCCCTCCCCCAGAACAACCTGTCATGAGATGTTTTTGGTGCCCACTCACAACACAAGCCCATGTTATCTGGGTCTTTTGCGAGTCACAAATATCAGTACGCGCCGGATGGCGATGAGACGATCCTTCAGGGAGGTCATAGCCAGTATAGCCAGCTGAGCTCTGTTTTCCAGAGGCAACACTGCCAAGAGCCACCAGTACCAGGCAGGACCACTGGGGTTGCTCTGCAAAAGGATGGAAAAACATGCAGTTACGTGGCAACCAGCCCAGCCCCACGAAGAACATCACCCTCCTTCTCACCTTCTATTTGCTAAGAAAGTCACCACAAAACAAGGAAGAAGTGAACACTTATTTGCAGGTGTTCTCTTTACCTTATACACCATTAAGATTTATCTCTTCAGCTACCAAATTACACAGGTATATTGTTTAGCATGCTTCATGCCAACAGACCAAAATTGGGTAAATAAGAGTCTAAAATAAAGAGTCTATAAACCACAGCAACAATCTGTCAGAAAACAGTCTAGTGTTAAAATTCTGTGTAGAATAAGGCTGCATAAGTAGGCAGGTTTTATTACCTGTGGTTCTGGTTCTTTTCCTGGCATAGATCCAAAATGATTGAGAATTTGCACTTTCATATTGTCTTTAAGTGAAGTGAACCAGGCAACAGCTTGATCATAGACTGAATCATGAAGGCGGACAAGTTCTTCATATTCTGGTCCTTCAACCTTGTTGTTAAAAGAAGGGAGATGGAACAAAACAGGTTTGATACCGTGGAGTCCATATGCTTCCCCAGAAGCAAACGAAGCAAAATAATGCAGTGACTACAGCTGTTCAAATGTCCTTATGTAAACCAACTGTGCCTAAGTCTCAGATTTCAAACCTGTGATGATGGAGGCTTTTTACCCTCCCCTAGGTGTTCTGAAGTGATATTTCTTGGAACAGTAACTGCCTCACTAGTATCCATTCCTAAATGCTGGCATAATAGAAGAATATGCTCTCTAACCCTGGGACATATTTATAATCTCAAACCCACAGCCTCGAGTCCCTGTCACAGAATGACCTCTGGACAGTGGTACATCATCTGGCAAAACAAAACAAACACTACTGCCACCGAGCACAGAGACGGGGGGCTACAGCACTTCAGAGACCAGCACTATTTTATAGAAGTGGTAAGGCCATGGTAGGACAGCCAAGGAGAAGGAGGAGGGTAGACACCCGAGCAGGCAGGAAGCAGGGAAAGTGATGCTTTCCCAATACCAGCAACAGTCATGAAGAAACACCCTCATTGAAGCAGAGTGTTTTAGTTGCACAGGCCTACTATTAGCTATTAGGGAAAAAAAAAAGCATAAGCAAAAACCACTACAAATTGGTGATTTGTGGGGTTTTTTGGGGGTTTTGATTCTGGATTTTTTGGGGGTTTTTCCCCCCTTTAACATGTGCACATCACATAGGTGATTTCACTTATGCTACCCACTCAGGTACACATCTGATCCAGCTGCTCTAGATGCCCTTCACAATCAAGGAGAAGCAGTTCTAGAGAACAATTAATCTCATCTTAAGATAAGTATCTCAGAGCATATCAAACAGGTAGCTTTGGACTGAGATTTTTGACCATCAGACATATGGATGTAGGGCACTGAACAGACACCAGTCTCCACTGTGAGACAAGGTGAATCTCACTCTAATTATGAAGAGGTGGATCTCTGGCACCATCTATCAACAATGCCTGCATACCTGAGTTCCACTACTCTTCACTAGGGACTTAAACAGAGCACAACCCTCACTCTGAACAGATTGCCTATTCCAGCCTTTCACAGCCAGAGGCACCTCCATGAGCTCAACCTTTCCTGCCCTGGCAAACAACTGCATCACCCTACACAGGTTAAACAGCACTGCTAAGGCTTTACAGACTTTCACTTCAACTGTGAGAGCACTCTAGAGCTGTATGACAGAACTGACTTCATCAATCAGCAGGAGATTACTGCTAAGCTCCATGTTAACAGCTACCAAGGTATTATAGACACAGCCTAAAGATGATCCAGAAAGCATGGCCAAAAATTCAACTTTTGGTCAACACCTATCACCAACACCTGCCTTGATGCAGCTTTGCTAAGAGGACTTGCTTTTAAAATCTACTTCCCTCTCTGCATTTCTCTGTTCTCAGTCAGCTCTAATGGATGCTCGTACAGGGCATGGTTAACTACGTGTCCCTAAGAACTCATTTTAAGAGCAGACTCCCACATTTACCTGAGGACCTGTTCTGTAAATGAGAACTTGGAGGACATATGAAGTGTGTCAACTGTCTGTTTAGTGCAAAAGAACACTCAGTTCTCTACCAACAGGAGCATGTGCTTTTAGAAGGCTTTAAATTCTGTACCAGTTTTAAAATGTTACTCTGACTTCACCTACACACCATGACCTCAGCATCCTAGAAGCTACTTTGAGATCCATGAAAAGAGTGTAACACTTTAAGCAGAGATAATTATAAAGGAAGAAAGGAAGAAAGGGAAAGAAGATACAAAGTTTGTTCCATGGTTTTTAAAACAGAGCTTTAGTGAATTTGTAATGATATTGGCTTAAAAATAATGCACAGCTAGCTTGAAATGCAACAAGGAAAGGCTATTTAAGTGAATCCAGCAATACATGGGTATGAATAACTTTGCACCATAGATCACCTTTTTATCTTCAAGATACTCGATGTTTGCTGTGTTATATCCATCTCGCTGGCCATGGCTTAAGACCCTAAAACGACGGACACCAACTGTATCAACAACTGAGCGTCCATCAGGAAAAAACTTTACGTCCCTGATCTCTAATATACAGCCATGATCTGCAAATCTGAAATGACAGAAGGGCATAAAAGTGGAAGTCATCAACAAGTGTTTATAGACATCAGGACAAATACTGGGCCTAATTCACCATTTCTTAGTTGAAAGAGGATTCTGCTTTGGTGACAATACATTTCTGCTTATTCACATAAGCCACACAACCCCCACCCTTTCTGCCTTCCCTCAGAGGACCTGGGCAGCAGCATTTGCAGGGCAGGTTTATGGGGTGAGAGGGTTGGAAAAGGACAGGAAACTAAATGAAGCCTGTTTCATGCTGGGAGCTGCCAGCTGCTGGTGGCAAATTCATCTGGTTTGCAAAGAAAACAAGATGGGTAAAGATACCGTAAGGAAAGTACAGAAAGTGAGGAACAAATGCATGGCTGTGAGGGCTATCCCCCTACTCCAAGGTGTAAGCAGAAGACTGCAGGCTTTAGAAGAAAAAAGCTTTCCATATAACAAGTCTTTTCTTGCATTTGTTTCCTTTAAAAAAAAGTCAAATCAAACTCAAAATATCCTCTTCAAAAAACACTTTTATACCCACTATATTGAAAGTCGTAGTGCGTTTTAATCACACCCTGGAAACAAGCACAAAATTAACTTTTACTTTATCAAGCTTACCTAACTATCTTTGTGGTGCAGTGATTTCACTAGAGAGGCTGATTGCACAATGACTCTTCACCACAATACATTTGCAGGTCTACAACTCAGCCTACTGCTAAGCAGGAGAAAGCACTGTATCTAGTCTCAGTCTCAAGATACCAAACTCTACAGGGTCTGATAAATTCTTTATCATGGAAATGCTTGTTTTACTAGGGCTTGGTCATTTCTCACAATGGAGTGATGAAGAAATTACTCCTGTTTCTGCTCTACCAGAAATCATGGGTTTGGGAGGGGTGGGAAACAACTGTTCTCTCCCAGCCAGTGTACAGGAAAAAATCAGGAAGAGCAGGAGGAGCAGAGCTGCACACAGCTAAGTCCTGGTGCTCTACCAACAGCACTGATTAATAAAAGCAACTCTGTTAGTTTGTTATAGCAATATTACACTATACACTATTTAAACAGCTACATAACTATTGTTTTCAATTAACGATTTTAGTGACATTCATACTGGATTTTGAAATTATTACAGAAGTGATGATTTTGTCTTTTTTGTCCTTAGAGGGGTTACTTTTGGGAAAACAGGGACCTGAATCAGAGAGACAAGAAAGCACCTGGAGACAGGCATAAAATGTGCTGACAACATTAAGAGCTTATATTCTTTTACCAATTATAAGTTAAAATGGAGATGTAAACCAGAGGAAGGTAATGAACTAAATATGCTCTGTCACTGTGTTTTTAAAGGGAGGTATGTATCCATGTCTCAGCAGAGGCAAAACAAGTTTCCCTGCTTCTTGTATTCCCAAGTTGATTTCGCAATTTTGAATAAACAGAAGAACTTCTTTACTTGTGTAAGAAGCTGGAACAGCCTTGGCAGGTGTCTGCAGATTAAGGCTTCCTGCACTTCAATTGTTTACTTAAGTCATCATGCTCAAAAAGTTTAATTATTTCAGTAACTCAAAACAGACATGACTTAGAAATCTAACCATACTGTTAATTTTAAAATACCCTTCATGATGCTCTTTAATAAACCAATTATTGTGTTTTGGGGATTGTAATGCCATGGCTCTCTGTATTACTGTACCTGATTCCAAATAAATTTGGCTCTTCTACAAGCCTGCAGGGATGTAAGGAGAGTTATCACCGAAGTCCTAGGGTAATTCTGCCTTCACTCTCTCAAGTATTCGCTTTCAGAAAATTGGTAATAGACCTGAAAGGGCCTGTGGAACATCAGCTGCTGCTGGAGTCTGAACTCCACTGAGTGCAGTACTGACAGCACGCCAAATGGCATTGCAGCACAGCCACGGCTGACTGGAAGTTGCAGCATCTCCTGTACTCTTACAGCTACCTTACTATCTAGTATGGGAGAAAAATAAAATTTCCCTCCCCCCAAGAACCATGGAGTGGACAAGGCAAGGCTGCCAAGCCTCAGTAATGACTGACCCCTTCTCAGCTCCGGTGATGATCACATACAAAAATGCTGTTCCTGAGGATGCCTGTCTGATGTGTTCTTAAAAATTCCCATGTTCATCATCACTTCTACAGCCTGCTAATGCAGTTTCTGAAGTCAGCAACTATTGCATCTCATAAAGCAAACCTCTCAAGATCACCTCATGCTTCTCCCATGAGCATGGTCTCAAAACCCCATTATCTATAAACACTTAAACTTGAAGGCTTTAGTAGAATCAGAAGATAGCTTTGTGTTGTAAGGGACCTTTAATCTAGTCAGCCTCTGCATAGGGAGCTGGAAACACATCAGCGTCAGAATTCACAGAAATGAATGAAAGGTATGATCATATAGAAAGACAATGTAACCCACTCACTGCAGATAGTTTAGACATTGCAACACAGCAGTAAAGACAAACATTCAAATTCAACATCCAGCAGCAAAACAGACTTCTCAGCCAAGTGTATACTTTGTCTCATTAAAATGATACCACTCTTTCAGGAAAGCGATGGGAGGTCTGAATGTTTTGTGTTATTTTTGTTTTGTTTTTTTTTAAACTGAGTAGACAGAGGGGGAACCTTACCCAGACAGTCAGTTTTCACTGGAACAAACAGGCCAGCAAGCTTTCCAAACACGCAGCCAATTAAATACTATTTTTGGAGCCTGTAGTAACAGGATGAGTTGCATTCTTGCTATTAACCAACAGGGGAGTAATAAAATTACTTATTTGTGTAAAAAGGAATGTTTAAAGTTCAAAACTAAGAAGTAAGCAACTTTAGTATTGGTTCATACAGGACTGGAAGGAACCACAGTGGTTTGGGGAGACAAGTATACTGTGCTGCAGTATTCCATTAGCTCACAGCAGCCTCTGCAACAACAGGACATTCTTAGCTCATCTCCTTACCCTTTTAATTCATCAGCTAAGCACATGCCAAACTGCTTGGTACCAGTTTCCATGCATCTTCTTATCATTAGGCGATAGCGAGGTTCAAAGACATGGAGTGGACAAGGGATGGTAGGAAAGGCCATGGTGCATACGAAGATGGGAACATCTTTATTCAAACTGTAAGAAAATTGTTTAAAAAAAATCACCTTTTTTTCTGGGTGCTGCTATATTCAGAATATATCCTTAATAGAAGACAAATGGCTTCCTTAGACTCAATCTTTGTAAATACCTATCTCTTTGAGGTTTGCCATTTTTACAAGACAAACAATAATTCAGGACTCTTTTCCTTAGTACATTAAGTAAACAATCCCTCTAAGCTACTTCCATAAAGGAAAAAAAGTCAAGAAATAGCCAATTTCCTGCAAACATGCACAGTGATACATCTTACACACATGGCAAGATTTTGGTGACAACTTTTCACAGTAATAAAGTACTTAAGATCCAGCCATGTTCAAGGCAAGATGGCAGAGAATCCCCAGAATCAGTAAACCCCTTTGATTTAAAAGCCATTAATCGACTTAATTTTTTTCAGGATTAACTGCATGTTTTGTTTTATTTTTTAGCTGAGTTATAGCACAACATTCGCAAGTCACTGACAAAACTGGATCCTTGAACTTTTCCTGACCTGAAGTATAACCCACTGATAATTTAAATTCTACTCCCAGAAAACCCCCACTGTAACTTCTAAAGCTATTATGTTGTTTCATAGGAAAAAGCAATTATCTTTATTTTAAGAATTTTGTTTTGCCTCTCCACCATCCAAGAACATTGTTACTTGTTTATCTGCAACATACACGTCAAAAATACAAAACATCTGGCAGGTTCATTTACAAATTCATTCCTTTGGTGCATTTTCATAAGCAAATTAATCTTCTTCAGTAATTTAGACTGAAGAAGAATTTAGAATTTTTTGTAACAGCTGTCAGTAATATAAAGAGAGCCTACTTTGACAATTCCTTCATTTCTTCATCATAAACTTTCTTCCTTTCAGATAATTCCTCTGGCAAGTAACGGACTATCAGCTCTTCTGTAAGGACGGTCTTCTTGTAAGTTCTGCTTGCCAGAAACTACAAGGAACAGTCATCTCTTAAGTCTGGTAACAAGAAAACAAGTAACATCTCTTCCTCCCAGCCCATTCTTCCCTGAGGCCCAAGTGCACATTAGTTAGGACTGTACAGATTGCTTACCCTTTTAAGCTTCCAGGCACCAAAGCTTCCACTTCAGCCTATGTGGTTCACCCCACTGTCCTTTTAACCCCATCCCCTTTTTTGGCAAAGCTGTACTAGCAGGAAGAAAAGGCAGTCCATCCTCACTTTTGCAAAGATACATGCATCTTTTCCATCTACAGCTGTCAGTTTACTGGCAAGAAGCACTATGTATGGGATACCTTACGTCTGCTGCTGACAAGTGTTGATCAAGGAGCGACCTTTCCTCATATACCACAGTTTCCACTCAAACAGGAAATTTCGTATGAACACAGCTATGGAGGGGTTCCCCAGGCATGAGCCTGATGTGATACTGGAAGCCTCCATTTCCCTAAGAACCAGCTAAACCATCTGTATTCCAATGAATGCCAAATATATCCTTGAGGAAATGAGGTCTGTACACAGCTTGATGTTGTCAGTACTGTCTTGTTCTGCTTTCAAGGAATCATAGAAGTTTGGGTTGGAAAGGTTCTTTAAATGTCATCTAGTCCAACCCCTTCAGTGAGCAGGGACATTTTCAAATGGATCAGATTGCTCAGAGCCCCCCATCCAACATGACCTGTAATGTTTCCAGCGATGGAGAATCTGCCAACTCCGTGGGCAACCTCTTCCAGCTTTTCATCACCCTCATGGTAAAAAATTTCTTACTTACATCTAATATCTTTAAATCAACTCTTTCACTTTAAAAGCATTGCCCCTTTACTAAAATGCCTGTCCCTATCTTTTTACAAACCCCCTTGAAGTACTGTAAGGCCAAGAGCAGGTCTTCCCAGAGCCTTCTCCTCACCAGGCTGAACAACCACAACTCTCAGCCTTTCTTCACAGGAGAGGTGCTCCAGCCCCAGACTACATTCATGGCCCTTCTCTGGACTTGCTGCACCCCCGTGCTGGGGACCCAGAGCTGGGTGCAACATTCCAGGTGGGTCTCACCAGAGAGGAGTAGAGGGACAGAATCCCGCCCCCCACCCTGCTGGCCACACTGCTTTGGATGCAGCTCACAAGCAGAGCACAGAAAATCTCCACATACATGTTTTCAGAAGAACACAAGTTTGTGCAGTTTTGTTAATTGGGGCAAGGACATACTTACTTCTGACAGCTTTTCCTTGCAGAGTGGGCAGAGTGGATTATGGTCAAGGCAACGCTCAAGGCATTTGAGGCAAAAGGTGTGTCCACAGGGTGTGGTAACAGGTTCATAGAACAACCTTTACATGAAAACATAGAGCAGAAAAGCTAAGCTGGAAACAAAAGCAATTCCCAATGTGTGGAGAGGAAAGAGTCCTAACTCTTTCTTTCTTTTCTGCTATTGTATAAAGCACAGGTGACAGGCATTACACCCAAGGATACAAAAAAGGTTTTCCTTTTCACAAGTGGTAAACAATGGAGAACTGCATACAAAAATGAGAAAACCACATCTGTAAAGATTCACCAGATGTAAGGTTCAGCAAAAAGGAACAGAATAATGACTTAGACATTCTCTGGCAGGTTTCTCTTCTTACACCATGGTAACTTTTTCCAGAAGCTAGAGAGGCTTTGTTATGTTAATGCCAGGTCAACACAGTCATACCTCATGCAGAGGGAACACTCAAAGTCCGACGCATCCACCAGAGTTGTTGGTATTTCACCTGAAGTGTCAGTGGTGTTTTCGGGTAAAACATCTCCATCTAAGTAGTCAAGAAGATTATTATAGTAAAGATGTAAGCATTACTGTATTTTCCAGTGTTCTTTGCACTGTTAACTTTTCCATAAAAAACCTGATTTTTGTCTTTTCTTTTCTGAAGTTTTGTTTCTAACAAACATACCTCCTCATCTAAGTTTTAGATTTTTTGGCAGGAGATCTTTTGGAGAGCAGAGGATGATGTCTGTGGCCAGAGAATACACTTTAGAGCTGAATATCCATTATTTGCTCCTCCAAAAATGATTGTTTTGTGGGTTTTTCTAAGCTAGTTTTTAAAGTATTCTGCTATTGCTTTCCCATCACCACCCCCACATCAGCCAGGCCAGATGTTTTGAAGTACATTAAGTCCAGAATTTAATTTGTTTACACACAGTCAAAATATTTCATCACTGTTTATTATAGATTTCTCAGCAGGGGTAATTTTTCTTACAAATATAAAAAGGCTTAGATTTTTCTAGACTAGGCTGTTCTAGAAATCCCAAATTTCAGACAGCTTAAAAGTTAAAAGGACTACTGGAGCTGCATTAGCTAACACAGCTTTTACTAGCTCAACAATCTGCAGAGAGGCAAAACACTTCACTTAAAATTCTACACAGACTGATTTTTGGGGGTGGTTTATATCTCTGGGTTAAACTCACTTTAAGGGTATGCACTTCAAACTTCACAGCAGCACTATTTAGGCTCAAAAGCTATCAGCTCCAGATTCTGTTGACATTTAAACAAGCAAATCCTGCAACTTCTTTTACAATTTGCATCTTTGTGATGAGTTACAAGAGAGCCATGACTGCTGCCTCCACATGTTTTTTATTAACCAAATTCTTAATCATTTAAAAGCTCTGCTTTTTATGTGAAGTTAAAATACTAGGATGCTTTGTTAAAGAGTAACTTATGCTCAGCATCTGGTTTATCTCCAGCATAGACAGGATAGGTGGTGTGTGGCCTACAAAGAAAAACAGTGCTATCTTTAACCTACATCTCACATGTTAGCATTTAGTAATTGCAAGAACCTGGCTGAGTTAATTCTGCAAATAGTAACATGGCACTGGGACCTAGAACACACCAGAAATTAGTGCTTATGGGTAAAACATGATCTCTGGCCTTCCCTGTGAAGATACAGGTGGGTCAGATTTCACAATCTATTTACTAAGTCTGCAGTTCACAAACAAGTACCGTTTTTTTTTCCTCCATAATAACATGATCAGAAACTGGCCATATATATATATATATCTCTTTTGTAGAGGTCAAAGACAGATAGCTGTACTGGAAAACATTGTAACATTTTCAGGCACAAGTCAAACTCCTGGAGGTGTGGGTTTTTTGGGTTTTTTTTGGTTTAGGGGAAAAAATTCACATCAGCACAGCAACATTTTCAAAGTCTATGTTAACCAAGTATTACACTACTCAGTAAAGTATTGCCTTCAGCATTTTTAGCCCTGAGTATTAAAGCCACTCTGGAGGTCTTTGTTAGAAGCTTGAGAAGTATACAAATTGTAAGCACAGCTATCAAGTAACAGAAAACTGGGGGGTGGGGGCTTATTACCCTTGAAAAGGCTTCTTTGTTTGCTTGGAAAATTACATATGAAGTTGCATGTGACCATTTCTAATGCCAGTTAAAGATTAGTTTCCAGGCTTACTTAATCTTTCAATCATATAGAAAGACAATGAAGTTCAGCTATAGCTGAGACCTAGAAAATGGAAGTGGCACTACCAACACGAAGAATAAGTGCAAGTGGATTACACACACATTACATTGGAAATGGCCCATCTGAGAATGAAAAATACAGTTTTCAGTCAGTGAACTTAAACTGCTCTGGAATAGGGTGAATAGGTTGCTAGAGCAGAAAGACACACCAGAGAACAAAATATTACCCCAATTCCTGTAGGGAATGTTTTATTGACCCCTATGAAAAAGGGAGGAGTAAAAAAGTTTACAGTTTTTCAGTATGTACAAGAGAAATCACTTTTCTAAGCCATAACACAAACCTTTTTTAAGAATCTTATTGGGGACATCCAAACTCTGCAAATCCCTCATATCATTGGACAGCTTTCTTTTTAAGCCAACTCCAGGTAAACTGGAGAGAATAGCTCCCAAAGACTTCTGGTTGTCATCAAAGTAGAGATCCAGAACATGATGGGTAACAGAAGAATCAGTGCTTCTGAATACATCAGATTCTTGGGACGGGGTTTTTGTTAACCTGAACATAGTATCCTAGAAAAATAAGAAGTTATATACAGCATGAGACAATTTTGGTTTGCTTTTATTTATTAGTTTTATCAGCAATAGATCAATGTTCCCACAAGGAGCCTAGCAATGGAGAAAGATCTGTATCAAAGGTCACTTCCCAATTGCATGAAGTAGGGCCATGTCTCTCCCTACAGTTCCTGTCTCTAGAAATTATGTTCCTGTCATACTAAAATCTTCAGTAGAAAAAAACACAAACACAACTGACCCCCACATGAAGGCATCACATTGTTTTCTGAAGAAAAAGGTTCACACTCATTTTTCTGAGGAAGTACATCCCAGTAAGAGATCCAACAGCAATGGAGAGAACAGGCTTATCATGAAAGTAAGTGCCTACTCAGGTGCAGACAAAGACAATGGCACACAGATCAGAAAGATCCATATATTATTTTTGGTATTTTTATGTTTAACACTTTTTGCTTTACCTTTGAGGACCCAGCAACGGAGTTATCTTCCACAGTTGACTGTGTGTTTATGCTACTCAGAAATGCAGGTTTCAATCTTGTATGGGATGTTCGACTAGAGAAAGGTGCTGTTAGACTATCATGCACATTTTCAAAGGCTGGGAAAAACATCTCACACATTATCTAGTCAATTAGAAAGAAAAAAAAAAAGAAAAGGTAATAATTACAACATAGATATTTATGTTTAGGTGAACACAGATGCACAAACTTCACAGTTTCTAGATGCCAAGAAGCTTGCAGCATCCAAGACATCCTGCACACCCCAGTGCCAGGGGAAACCTGGATGGCACTGATCACCACAGTCACAGTCACATTCCAAGGTGCTCTTCTGGTGCCCATCTCCCTTACCAAAGGACTCTGCTCCCCAATAGCAACAAGGGCAGCAGTTTATTGCATCCTTCTCCTGATCCTACCCATCTCCATTTTGATCCTGCCTCCAGAACTCTTCAGACCATGCTTTCCCATCAAAACCAGTTAACAAAGATGTGTTTAAACATTTCTTGTGTTCTTCATCCATCTCCTCCATCCTCAAGCAGATTTAACCCCTAACTTAAAGCCTGCTCCTCTTCTCACCAGTCCACACCAAGCATCTCGCCAAATCCTCATCTCATTTTTATAAAAAGCTGCCTGTGTGGATGGTCACAGAGAACCTGATGATGGGCTGTTAGCACTTAATGTGTCTGACTCCCCATAAGGAACAAAATGCTACAAAGACTGCAGGATTTTTCCAGCACAGGGCAGCACACAGCTTCCTCTCCTCAAACCTCTGCCACTTCCCACATAAAAGTCATTTTTTGATGGGTACTAAAATTAGCAGCCTCAAGCCTACGCAGTGGAATTCACAAATATATAATCCCTCTGGCTGAGGCATCAACCAAAACCAAGAGGTGTCTCACAATAAAAAGGTTTATTGGATAATCTCCTGAATCAAACTATTCTTTGGGTGTTTACTATCACCTGACATACCATGAATTTTACTTGGTTGTGGGATTAAAAGCAACACAATGGCCAAACAGTCAGTAAATACATTTTATACCTTTTGGGCTTCTTTCTTCATTGAGCTCCATTCAGGATTTAAGGCAACACAATAAAGAAATTCCTTCAATGCTTCCTCAGTCCTTTCCAATCCAGACAGAGCTTTTGCTTTCACATAATGGCCCTGTTCACACAAAGGAAATGTACAATTCTAGAGATCATTTCTGAAGTGGCAGCAATACACCTGAAAACAAACCTGAAAGTCCAAGTCGTTCTACATGTGAAGAACAAGATGCTTTTCAGGTAACAACCTCTTTGACAGGCGTGATTGAAAGAAATTCAGTCCCTTCTGGTGAAAAAAGATTCCCCGGGAACTCTCTGCTGCATCATCCCTTGCCAAAGGCACTGCTCATTTCCTGAGAGAAGAGCTGGGAATAAGGAGGGGTTTTTCCCCCCAGGGGCAAAGTCTGTTACACATCCCACTGTGCTTGGATACACCAGAGAACAGTTTCACATACCAGGACAAACTTAAAAAGTAAGACGTCTGCACAGAAAAGGCTGTGGCAGAGGGCAGCCTGGAAGTGTCAAATGAGACACTTCATGAGAGTCACTTCTCCTGGATGTCTTATTAGGACAGAGATAATTTTTCACCTGCCTAATTTGGCCCAAAACCATCATGAATTTAGGGCAACATATCAATACTTAACCTGAAGCATTTTAGCCCACCCTACCTCTCCCGTGTGTTCTGGACTAACATGTCCATGGCCAACAGCTATGGCACCCAGCTTGGGAATAAATCCTACTTTACTTGTTACTAGTAGCAAGAGTGGAATGCTTTGCCTCTGAACTTACCTGCATATATCAAACTACAGTTCTAATCTGACTACAGAAATTACTTCCTTCACAATGAAAAGAAACTAAGTGTGCATTTAAACATTTCCCCCTTGGTTATTAGACAGAAGCATGCTCTACAAGTCCACCCCTGACCCATGTGAACATCTATGGGCTGTACTGAAAGTACAGCTTCACACATCTGAGAAACTGGCTAGATAAGCAGATCCACTTTTCTCGTTTCATAATAATGTTGAAAGATCCAGTATCACACAATCTTCCTCAGCAGGTAACTCCCTCATTCTTTCAATACTGCTGTCCAAGCTGAGACCTGTTAAAATCTTTACCATCCCACTGGAATTGGAAGAAGGAAGCTTATGCCAAAAGCAAGCAGCAAGTGCTGCATAGGCCAGGCTAATTAACATAATTATCATTTGGTGACCTGTACAAGAAGTCTCAGTACACATCAATTCTCTCCAGGTGAGATACATTTTTCTTTTCCTCAATGCAGCAAGATGAGAGATACTGTGAGGCCTGACCCTGACCTTCTTACCTGGATGCTTGCACAGCCTCCATATAAACTTTTACATGCCTGTCATCACTGCCAGCATCACTGCCAGCATCACTCACTGGGGAGCCTACAGGCTTGCTCAGACTCGTCCTTCAAGGCCCTAAGAGCAATGTCCTTATCTGACCTGCAAGGGAAGACTGAGGTGGGCTGTCCACAAAGCACCTAAAGATCCAACACCAGAAGTTAGGCCCAGGGACTAAAGGCCCCCTGTACTTCAGAGACTACCACTGCCACCTTCCCTTTCCTATTTTCATATACCCCTGACAAGCATCAGACTGAAAGGGAGATCCAAGCAGGACCATGAGTAGCAGGCAGGAGGGCAGTTCTGCCTGCCTCTAAATAAAAACACAAGTAGAAAACTCTCCCTGCGCTACACGGTCCTGGCTTTCATAACAATTGAAAAGGAACCAACTTATCTATAGCTCCAATGACTACTGCATACCAAGGATTTTCACCAGTAACTCGGCAAGCGACTACATCTGTTATCAATAAGCCAAAAGATACTGGTAGGTGAACACTTGCATCCTAGGAGCTACTCCCAGAATTAAGTTTAATTTTATGCTGGGTTTTTTTTTTTAACTACACAGCACATGTTTGAGCTAATCTCTGCCACTGGATGAGATGCTGCAATACACAAAACAAAGCAGATGCCCAGAACTCCTGGAGAACACGGATTCTGGGTCAGCACAGCTTATGTTGATGTCCTCACAAACATGAAAGCACAAGTGAAGTACGTCTGAGACACTGCTGGTTACGCCATGATGACAAATTTCATTTTCAATTAACATTCTTCAGAGATGTGATTAATGAAACCTTTATCCGCCTACGACTGACACACATCACATTTCCATGGATTCAGGCAAACAGAAGACACTTCAAGAAAATATCTGAACGTGCATTATTAATTTTTCTCCCTCTGCACAGAAACCCAGCCAGCATCACCCAAGATGGGATTCCTGACTTGAGAAATTATCCAAGACAGAGAAGTAAACTGGATGCAGAGGAAGATTATGAACTGCCTTGCAACATGAAAGGTTTTAATGGGTGACAGCATAGATAGCCTTCAGAGAAAATTACCTAACTTGACAGAGACTTGGTGTTTCAGACAGCACCTCTCTGCCTGCCCTGCATCATCCCTGACTGGGAATGGAGCACTAGATGCATAGCCCTGCTTGCTCAGGCGGGAGGCCAAGGCATTTATGCAACACCTCCTTAGTCTCCACAGGAAGACAATGTCTGCCTAAAATCCTTCCCCAGTTCCCCACGCTATGCTCTCCCCACTGCTCAAACCTGTGCTGCAGTTTTGCTGCTGACAGGAGAGAGACTGACTGCAGGTGTAATCCTAGGTGAGGTGAACTGCTGGACACTCAGTCCAGCCTCAGGCAACCAGTAATAGTGAGGGGCACCAAGAGCTTCTTCCATTTCTCCCTCCTAACATCATTTCTGATACTTGCTTCAAACTGCCCACTGCTCCTTGTAGCACATGCTTTGGTTATGAAAAAAATCCCAACCCCTCTATGAAACACCATGACACAGGTAGACAGCACAGATAGGAAATCTTAGGATCAAAGAGGGAAAGAAAATAATCCTGAAATACAGTCTGAGTGGCTTCTCAGAAAAACACACTGGCCAGCAGGTTGTCAAAGTCACCAGTTTCCTGGGGACACATCATCCCAGAGGGACCTGCAGGGCCATCCTGGGCTGCTAGAACCTTACAGACTGATTCTCCTGCCAAGCTGCAGCACAAGCTGTAACAGATAATAGGCACCATGACCAAAACCACACCACCAGCTGCCCACCACCAAAATCCCATCAGTCGGAGAGATTCTGAGGACCATCCAGACTTATTCTTTGAAGAACTTAAGACGTTTTTGGCCCTGTTAATGCCACAGTGCTCTTTCAACACCACCCCCAGCACAGAGAGAACCCTGAGAAGAAGTAGTTTTCATTTTGCTCTTTACAAAGGGCAAGCACCGTACCGCAGGCCAGTGGGGTTTGCTCCGGCACAGGACGTCGGCGTCGTGAAGAGCTTGCTGGTAGTTCTTCATCAGCGTACAGAGCTCCGCCCGCTGTGCTATCAGTGAACACTTGCAAGGAGCTGGGAAACAAAAACAGTTGCAAGGAACTTCATTAAAAGAAGTACCAGGACATGTTAAATACCATTACCTCATATCCAGCCACAGTAACAAAAAAAGTCCTTGCTTCCCACCCATTGCATTTACACTCTCCTGTAATAGAAAAAAAGGCAATTCCCTCATTCTTTCCTGCTTAAAATATATTCTTCTCACTCTGAAGCAATCGCTGTGTTTTATTTAACAGGACATATTTCATATCCACAAACGGGATGCCACTGCTTATTTACCCATCTTGCTTACAGGGCACTTCAGAAAGCAAAAAGAAAAAAGCTGCAAGTGTTTCTACTCTCAGTATGGAGAAAGAAATCACCAGTGCAGAACTTCAGCTAAAACGTTACCAGAAGCCATTAATAACAAAAATGCATGCAGCCTTTACGCTTCATATCCGCTTGCCTTCCCCAGGGCAAGCAAATCTCTCATGATCATACACCTTGCCTCCACAAATTCATGAATCATTCAGTTCACATGGATTATAAAGTTCCCAAGCATTATTTATCTGTCCTTTCTTAAGGTCTCTAGAATACATGTTAATTTCACAGAAACACTGGCTGATCCATGTTCATCCTGTCCACCAGGACCTCCAGCTCTTTTCTGCAGATCTGCTGTCTAGTCCAGCCCATCCTATTGCACAGAATTATTGTGTTCCAGATGTACTTCCTTTGCAGAAGTAGACAATGCTGGTCAGCTCATACCCCAGGTTGGTGGTTTGATGGCAGCCCTGCCCTTCAACACATAAATCACTTCTTCCTCTCCCAGTCTGGTGTCACTGACAGTGTGCTCTTGCCTGTGATGGAAGCTGTTAGTAAGGTGCTGAACTGTGTCAACCCCATTACCGATACCTGGACAACGACACTGGCAGCCATCTGCCCAGCAGCTCCCAAGCCACTAGGGACCACCTTATGCCCATGGTCCAGTCAATTCTCCACCTCCCTGCTACAACGTCCCCAGCTTGGCAAGGACACTGCAGCAGACTGTGGCAGCATCCTTGCAAAATACACACTAAGTCCCAAATAATACTCTGCTTTTGTTCACTAGAACAGATATGTCATCATAGGTGATGAGATTTGTGAGAGATTTACTCTTGGTCACTGGTGACCTTCATGTACTGGGAGAGGCCTCTGGAAGGCTGGAAGGGGGCTGCTGGCAGCTAAGTGCAGTAATCCTTTCCCAAACGTGAGCTGATTAAAACTGTGAGAACTGGTAAAAAACTTTAAAAAGGCTCCAAGGTGTGCTGAGAGACAGTACCCCATTTCTCTAACTTTTAAACTTCACATCCAAACTAGCTCACATCTAAACTTTTCCAACAAATATCCCCTTATGTGTGTTCACACACAGGGCTCCTGTCTCCATACTCTCTTCAGCCTGCTTTGGCTTCACTGTTTGGATCTCACTTCAGCACCAGCATCCTAAACACACCCTCAGTAAGAACACATTGCCCATCACAGCCCAGGTACAAGCACATCTGCATGGACACAGAGCAAGCACAACTGCTGCAGGTGCCACCACTCTTAAAGTTCAAGGACCTACAAGGAGGGACGGCCCAAGATCACATCCCCCCCCACCTCCTCCCCTCTCTTGTGCTGATGCTGCTGCTTGCGCAGCAAACCAGGCTTGCACCCTGCACCGAGAACCAGAGCAAAGAATCAATTGACTGGAAGTTAATTCAACAGCAACAAACAAATAGAAAGGTTTAAGAGGATCAGTTTCCCCTCAACTAGTTCAGTGTCCAGCCACACAAACTTGAGTGCCAGGACACCGGATGAGAAGGAAAGAAGCAGCAAGGAGCGCTGCCTTTTTTGGCTGTAGCATGGACTGATGCCAGATACACTAACTGCAGCATGGCATACCAGGGCTGATGCTTCTCCAACTGCTCTCAGACACTGACAGCTAGAGACTACACTTAAAGAGCTCTGCACAAGCTCACAAGGCGGGGTTCTGTGCTGGTTTCTGCTTGTGTGGTATTATGGTGGTTTGCTGTGGGTTTTTTTTAACTATTACACATGCAGACTGCCACATGCAGTGATCCACATTTCTACCTGATAGTTTTTAAAAAGACTGCAAGTTAAATGAAATTGAAGAGCAATTAACTTAAGATCTTCAAGTAAGCTTTTTGTTCCTTTTAGCAAATGCTCAAATACAAAATTATTTAGCTGCATTTGAACAGTAAGGAATTAATACTGTATTTCCATCTTTGTAACTGCTCTAGGGTACCCAGCTGCAGGGTATGCTGAGGTGGGTAGAAGCAGTAAGCAGAGTTAGGCACCTCCACAGGAAAGCAGGGCGCAGGGTGGGGTATTTCTGGCACCACAGGGAAAGGAAGCAGTGTGAGATTAGGGCACAAAGCAAGTCAGCTTGCTGCTTCTGTTCACTACTGCATATTTTAACTGCACTGATGCTTTCCAGCACTCTTCAGAACACTTCACACACCCAATAGACCCAGAGAGAGAACAGGTTCATCAGCTCTTTTTCAGGAACTTATCTTCACTGCAAGAGTTTTAAGCAAAAAAAAGCCATTGCAGAGCACAGCAGTGTGGGAATAGCAGCAGATCCTCCTGAAGCAAGTCCAAAGGGTCTCACAATATAAAGGAAAATAAGCCAACCTGGAGGCAAGCCAGAAAGCCTACGTGTATTCAGGGCTAGTACCTCTCATTCCCTGAGACTCAGTCAGCAAGCAAAAGGTGTGGCCCATCTTAATGAGTAACTGGCAGGGAATGTCTAGTTAACTGAGAGAAAGGATAAAAAAACCCAACAAACCAAACAAGTTTGCTAAAGACAACACTATTTATGAGGCTATAGTGTAACAGGTCTTCTCCAGGGAGAGGAAGCATCTAGACTAAATGCCATAGCTAGAGTGGTGCCTAGCCACCTCCATTCAAGCTCACCTCACTCACAGAGCAAGCAGTGCAGCCTGAAATCTTGCTGGCTCCACACCCAACCCATGCATCCCTAGTTCCCAACCTCCTGCTACCAGCAGGACTGTCCCAAGAGGGTCTACATCCCATCAGGGCAAAGCCAGATGGACTGAAACCTCATTCTTTGTCAGTGGAACTGAGGTACCAGCTGGCTGACTCCAACTCAAGGTTCAGGTGGAAGTGTATACCCACCCACAGGCTAAGTAGCTACAGGGCTTCTTGAGAGCACCATGATATTGTTCCCTGCGACAGCAAATGGTGTGATGAAAATAATTAGTCACAGAAGGCGGAAGGAGAGGGCCTGAGGATGTACAGAGTTTGTGAAAGTTGCCAGTATGCCAGTGTTCAAGACCAGGCTCAGCAACGCCTTGAGCAACTCAATTCAGTTGTCTAGTGAAAAGTGTCCCAGCCCATGGGACTAGATGATCTTTAAGGTCCCTTCCAACTCCTAACATTTTGATTCTACGCTATAATAACTGTCAAGTTTTTTTTTTTCAATTAAAAAACGAACAAGCAAAGAATCAACCAAAAGACAAAACAAAAACAAGCAAAACCCACAAACAAACAAAACAAACCCAAAGAAACAACCCTAAAAGAAAAAGCTGCACGATAGTTAAAAATTTGTTTTCAAATAATGCACCCTTTCTCTCTTTTGGAGATAAAGAGCAGAGAAAAAGAAGATTTATTTTATGAAATGACTCATTATTTCAGGCCATATTAAAAAAGAAAAGCGTAGAAAATTTTACTGTTTCCACAATACCAGCAGATGGCATTTTGTGAATCCATCTCCTCCTGGGAATCCACAGCTGCACAGCAAAATTTATGTCCTTGTCAGCATCAGGGATGCAGTGCTGAGGCTCCCATGATCTGCGGCTCCGGGCAGCTGGAACACAGGGACTTCCTCCAAGACACAAGTCCTGGAAGTCTTCCCAAGCATCTCCCTTCCCCCCAGCCATAATTCCACTGTACCAGACAAAACCCTAGCCCATACAGGGCCCAGAGCAGAGGAATGTTTGGGTCTTTGCCTCCTGGACTCTCCTATGGACCACCAAATATTGCCTACCCTGAGTGTGGTTGTCAGCTTGGATTTCTTCAACATCATTAATCTTCCTCTCACACTATGTTTGTGCTCATCTGCACATTTGTTATACTATGCTTTAACTTAGGCAGAAGCTATCACTCAAAATTACTTTTCTAGATATGCCCAAGAATTCAAGTTTTTTACAAAACTATTCTGCTGAGTTCGGGAGGCTGGTAGGAGAACAGAGATCCCCAAAATCTCCTTGTGCCTGGAAGGCAGTGAGAGGAATTATGAGAATTTGCCCAACTGACCATAGATGACGACAGAAGTTTTACTGTAATAAACTACACAGTGACTTCTTCCAGGAACTCAGAACAGAAAGAACAAGTTTAAAGAACTCTCTAACTCTCCTTATCTGATAATTCTTCCTAGAAAATTGCATCTTCTTCACACCTATTTCAATACTAAGCATATTTCCTGAAGGCATGAGCAGAACTGAAAGTGTCATCACAAAAAGCTTTCAGTGTTGCTTTTAAGAGTCAACCTGCACAGTATTTCAGTAGAAACTTCTCTCACATTTTAAAGAAATTTCTGCTCTGAAGAGAGAAAGAAACTTGGCTTGTTTTGCTACATTATGCATTTTATTCTGAACAATTCAGTATTGAAAACCTTTTAACAAGCTTGAAAAATAATTTGAAACATATATCATTATTTCAGTGAGAAATTAGCAAGTTTTAGTAATTAAATGAATAGCAAATTAGCTTTTCACCTCCAACTTCATGTAAGCATGACAAGTACACACAAAAAAATGGATGCACAGGGTTGTTTGGTAGGGAGAGAAAGGGTGACAAAGAGAAAGGTGCCGTTTAGATAAAATAATTAGCAGAAGTAGTAAAGACATTTAGGACTTTAAAATAAAACTTCATTTCACAGCAGAGATGAAAACCAGGGTCAGCTTCCCAAACATGATTAAGGGGGACAACAAACATGACCACCTACTTGCAATCAGCAAACCCATGACTTCTGAATC